CACCGCGATGAGTTCTTCAGCAAGCTTTTGGGGCGATTGTGTACGCTTCAAGAGACGATTATATCATTGTCGACGGGCAAAAATTACAGTAACACGAAGATAAAGTGGGATTTTGGATGTCAGCAAGCTGTACCACGTAGCGAATGAAGGAGCTGCGGCCACTTTTCAATGGAATAGAAGTACTAGAGGAAGCGTATGTCAGGAAGAGAAGTTGAGCTGATCATGTAGCAAGGATGACTGAGCACAGATGGACGAAACGAATAATTGAACCTTCCACGATGTGTTAAAAGAACAATTGCTGTTGCACAGGGTTGATATACTAACTAGGATCTTTGGTCTGGTAGGAATTCAGCGAACACGAGGCTGTAACCGATGATCGAATTGGAAGCTGTGTAACACGGCGATCCAAACTGTTCCAGATATTCTAGGCAATGGGATGGTGTACATCACATGTGAATTCCTTATTACTGCCAACTAATGCATGTGTTGTATGAAAATGTAATTTACCAAATAATTCTGTAAGTTTTTCTTTTTTTTTAATTTTTAGGCCGAATCAGAAGAATGGGCGTTTCTTGGTTCGGAATTTATCAAGGAGATGATCGCGATTGCAAATTCAAACAAAGTTGAGCTTGGTTTGTTACTTTTTTCTATAATTCTGTTTTTTTTTTGTATTTAACTTTATGGTTCTCGTACCAATTCGTGGTGCTCTCCCGATTGGCTTCCGATTGAGCGAGGCTTTGAAACACTCAGTTCGTTAGGAGTCTTTGTGAAATTTGATTAAGACAAAAATTTTATCATTCAGGTGCAAAGTATGGCCAGAGAGTTGCAAAATTTAGGAATTTTTAAGTTTTGACTGAAAATGTAACATAATATTAGAAAGCGAGGAGTTTACTAATTCTAGCGTCCATACTCTAAAAATGCCATATTTAGACTTAAAAAAAACTCAAAAATAAGTGGCAGGAGCGTGGGAAACGGGGAAGGGGGAGGAGGAAGGGTGAGGAGCTCATTTTGAGGGTCCCTCTGCGCGATCGCCAAAAATTAAGGTTTCTCCTGCTTTTAGCTTTCCGATGCATCCGGCCATATTCCTCCTGTCCTCTTCTTCATTCGACTGTTTCTTCTTTCTTCATTCAGTAGTTCAAAGGAATTGTACTTCCGCTTGTTTGCTTTAAAAATACAGTTGATTTTTCAGCACCGAGTAGCGAAAGGGTTGTGCAGTTTGTGTCGCAGCCTATATTCGGGACGATGTACTGGCGTGGAGCTCCCGCCCAATTCGGCAAAAATTTGGATTACAAAGCA